CTATAAAAAGAAGATATAAACATGAAAAAATGTCTTAGAATAATTGTCAGACTTTGTCCATTTCATAATGTAATGTGAAGGCATATATATATATATATATATATGGAATTATGTTAATCTCTATACTCGACTAATGTAAAAAAAAAAAGAAAAAAAAGGCAATAGTACAATTTGCAAATACAAATATATTAAAACAAATTGGTCTCTGGGGAAAAATTGCTAATATATAGTTATTTGATTTACCTACCTCTTTCTTTCTCTGTCTGTCTGTCTGTCTGTCTCTCTCTCTCTCTCTCTGTCTGTCTGTCTCTCTCTATATATATATATATATATATATATATATATATATATATATATATATATATATATATATATATATATATATATCTTCTCACCTCTTCCGTCGGATTCGACGTAAGAGGGTGAAGGATATCAGTTCCTAGGAAACCGACAGCCCGACAACAGCACATGAGATTCGATTATAGTGGTGAATGTTTCGTGCAGGACCATCCACAGTTTTTGAAGGATCGAATACAGAGACCTGGTGCACTACGTGCCACAAGGTCCCCAAACAACCCTCCGCAGGTTTTTTGAATTCAAAGTTGTCCTTCTCCTAGACCAGTTGCTATTAAAGGCTATAGAACCCAGTATGTCCTGCTATTTACCCATAGCTGGATATATATATATATATATATATATATATATATATATATATATATATATTTATATATTAATGTTTCAATTTGAAATTGAAACCTAGGTGAAACCTAATTGTGGCTCACTAGCATTTTTTTATAATCTGCTCTACCTACTGTACTAAGCACTTTTACGTTTTTCTTATTTTACCCTATTGTTTTTTTTTGTTTTTTTTTTGGTTTGACATTACGACAATTATTCTAAGACATTTTTTTATGTTTATACGCTCTATCTATACAAATATTCAAGTAAATGCTCTGTTTATAATAAACAGTATTAACGACATTTACCGGCCTAAATATCTGAGCGTCAAGCAGATCTGCTTGACCCTCCTACGTCGAATTCGACAGGAGAGTATATATATATATATATATATATATATATATATATATATATATATATATATATATATATAAAAAATTATTTGTTTAAAATATATTATATTTATGCTCTACTTTTGTATCGAGTTATTTTTTTAAAAATAATAACTAAAATACTAAGGACTTTGGATTATTTACCTAACCAGTTCCTTCCTATTTTCTATATATTTTCACACACACACACACACATATATATATATATATATATATATATATATATATATGTATGTGTGTGTATATATATGTGTATGTATGTATGTTTTATATTTTGACGGATTACACAGATTTGTCAGATAACCAAATGATTTAAAAAAAATTTCTTTTTGTAATATCTAGTGCCTGATGAGTTGGTAAAACAACAAAACTTTAATCGCATTGCCAATGTAGGTATGTATATATTTATCAATATTATATTAAGGAGAAATGGCCACGCCATTATACACGCAAGCACAAGTGCATGCATACACCGGCAGACTCACATAAGAAAAAGAAAAAAAATCAAGCTAACACCAACAATCGAACACTATACGGATTACATCCGAGTATGTTGGACAAACTACGAGCAGGGAGGATCCACAGACGATGCTGCGTCGAAGGGCTGAGTCTCAGCTCGGGACACAGCTACCCGACCCAGTTTTATACGGTGCCTACGCTGGTAGTTAGTGTATATCAATCAATCTAACACTAATAACCGTAGCACTCCAAGTAGCGCCTAAATTAATTACGTCAAAACTTATCGTAGAAAAAAAATATATTAACTAAAAATGAAAAAAAAACGGAAGTCAATCGCTGAAAGCTCCTGACGAGTGGACCTAGCGATTACGAAAAATTTCGTCTACAAAACTCTGGAGTTGAATTGCTGAATATAACAACTATCAGCTACGTGACTAATTTTATTTGTATTCATATATATATATATATATATATATATATATATATATATATATATATATTTATGTTTGTGTGTGTGTGTGTGTGTGTGTGTGTACGTTTCTGCCATTCGTTGCATCAGTTTCAATATCACACTGCCTCTTGATTGTTCCTCGTCTAGATTTCCGGTTTTCATCCGTTATTCGTTCTCTCCAAAAGTTATTCATCTTTGTCTTGTCCGTCTCTTACACTCCTCGTTCCACTTTCCCGCCTTTTTCTCTCTCCTTTATTTCACCCCTACCATCACCACCACCACCACCTCACGCGCTTTGTCGTCTTTCCTTCCTTCCTCCGTTTCTCGCCGTCACTCGTTCCCGCGCTTTTCTCCGGCATTTACGTCCATAAAGAACACATTATACTTCAATATTCCGTCGATTAAGGATTTCTGTTTTTCTTTTTTTTATGCGTCGCTCTGCGGCTGCCGAAGTCAATTTGCCCGTTTTCAAACACATTATTCTCGTTCAGGAAGGACGACCCCCCTCCACACACACACACCCAATCATTCGACAATCGTCATTGCTGCTACTCAATCTTCGTTTCTCTGTTCAACTACTAGTGCTCATACAATAGCCGTTGCTGTTAAAGCCACTACAGTTACCAGTCACACCAATTGTGGTGTTGCGGGATTTTATGTTGTTCGGACGCAAATAAGCCGCCACTTTGCAGTGGGAATCAACACTTTTGATACGAGTGTGTATACGTTGTATCTGTCAGTCAGTTATGTGCCATGCGTGATACACGCGTAGGCGATCATGTATCTTTCAATTCATGACTGACGAGGCAGATTTCTAATTTTTTTTTTGCCCGCAGTAGTTTCTTTCTACGGTAGATCAGTTGTCATCCTATAGAACCCGAGCTGTCCTGCTATTTACTCATAACTAAAGAAGAGGATTCATACCTTTCTCAAGGGTATTAGCACGTAAGTGAATGTAATAGATCCGACTGAAATTCGAACTCGGCTCTCCGATTTCTCAATCCGAGCCGCTATCCATTATTCCACCGTTGTATTCGTTGTATTAAATATTTATGTGATCCTGTACATATTTCCTTCCTTCCAATAATATATATATATATATATATATATATTTATATATATATATATATATATATATATATATATATATATATATATATATATATATATATATATATATATATATATATATATATATATATATATTTTAAAGTAATATGTCATTGATAAAGGTATAAGAAAAAACACTCATTCGGAAAACGTTCGGTGTCTTGATTTTTCATAATCAAACCAATACCAAAAAAAAGAAAAAAACGGTATAAAAACAGAAAGAACAAAGAACATGTACATTAGCCGAAAATAATCGTCCAGCATCCAAGTCCAAAGTTTAAAAAAAAAAACAAACGATACGAGTATGCAAAATAACTAAATAAATTGCTCAATACGGTAAGTAGAACAGACCTAGATAAAGCTAGAGAGCCAGAAAAACCTACCAAGGTTTCACCTATGCGGATCGTCAGGGAAACCAGCTTTCCCGGACGATTCGCTTTCCAAAACCTTCAAGTTTAAAATGACTCTATAGGTTTAACTATATATATATATATATATATATATATATATATTATTAATAATATTATAAATGTTCGCCCAATACAAGGCCTAAGCGCCACTCAAGGTAGAGGTTATTATATGGAGTTGTATTAGCGTAAGAAATGGTAACATAACAGGAATGGTAGCTAATTCTTAACTTGAAAAGATCAAGATTTAATTAGCGAACAAAATTTCACAGTTCAGACGGAAACGTTAGGAGTATAGAGTTGACTTTATAAGGAACGATAAACTCAATATATTGGCAGATTCATGTGAGTCCGGTTAAAAAATAAAAAAACAAAACAAAGCAATGAATTTAAAACAAATAGTAATTATATGCATTAACAAAAAGTAGTTCGGGTTCAAATCGGGTTTTCTCAAAAAATTCAATCAAAAGTTGGGCTCCATATTTTCAGAGTCGGGCTCGGGCTCATATCGAAAATACAATGCATCGCCGTGACCTGCGTTGAACGCAAACGCCAACTGATTTCTCAACGAACTCTCGCCATTTTTATACGCTCTTGCCAACCAGAGAATTTCCATATTGAGCACGCTACCAAATTCGATCTGACTTTGGATGACGCATGCCAAACATTTTTCATGCTCGGACGTTTCGCCTCGCTTTTCTTCGCTCTCACATTTTTATATACATAACTCTAGCCCTTTTGGACCGCCGAGGTAATTCTCCAGCATACCCATCGACGGACAATCGGGTTTAACGGACCACCCTTCCCCCATATTAGTCCGTTGATGAGAGGTTTGTCTGTATAATTATATTAAATATAGTATTTGACTTAATCCAGTCGTTCTTAACAAATCTGGTAATGAAGTCGTCGTTAATGCCCACGTTTCTCGATTATTTCAAATTGATGCAAGGGTTTCTATCCTTAGACGTACATTATTTCTTGTCCTCATCAATGATCTTCCCGATGTCATCACAGGATATTTGTGCTGATGACATATCTATTTACTCTTGTTACTCGATATGTTTACAATGTGAAGCTGCCAGGTGTTAACAAAATGTAGATAAAATGCCTTGTTGATAATTTAAAAGAAAAATGTGTTGCTGGTAATTTCACTACAAAAATGTATTGGTGGTAACTTTTTTTATTTGACTCTCCTCAAAGGCTCCAATCTCCCGATCAGAGGTCAAGCTGCCGGATGCTGTTTGTCGTCATACCCAGGACGGAAAGACGATGGACGAATTGAGCGAATGCACTTTCATCGAATATCTGATAATATATACGTATATTTACAATTAATGACAAGGCGATACATTCATCGTTTATGACCATATCACGTTGATATATCGGATGTCGTCCAATCACCGAAGTTAAGCAACGTCGAGCCTGGTCATTACATAGATGAGTGACTTCTTGGAAAATAGCTGGTGCTGTAATTTTGGACGTGCATGTTGTATGACGGGAGAGTACGGCCATATCGTATTGAAACACCGGTTCTCGTTCGAACACCGAAGTTAAGCAACGTTGAGTTTGGTCAGTTCCTTGATGGGTGATCGCTTGTAAAATAGAAGGTGTTGTACGTGAGGAGTTATGGAAATGTACAGCCATATCGCATTGAAATACCGGTTTGCATTCGATCACCAAAGTTAAGCAACGTCAAGTTTGGTCACTGCCTGGTTGGGTGATCGCTTGGAAAATGCCACTTGGTGTACGCTTGGGTGTGCGTGTGGAGTTATGGAAATATATGGTCTTACCACATTGGAACTCCGGTTGCCGTCTGATCATCGAAGTTAAGTTAAGCAACGTCGAGGTTTCTCAGTACCTATATGAGGAACCGCTTGGGAATATCAGGTGGTGTAAGCTCGGGTGTCTTCGAGTGGTGTCATGGTTCGGTATGAGAAATCGGAGAGTCGGGTTCGAATTCTAGTCGGGTTGGTTCGCATACATTTACACGCATATACTCTTGGGCGATCATGGGTGTCACATACTACAACTCTCTACTTGTACTTGTAACGGCATTCACCCGGGGTGGGTTGAGCCGTCTCCAATATTGGAGTTTCATGGGAATTTGAAATTCACAAGCGGTCCCCAAACCCGCATGTATAGCAAATGAGATTTGATTATAGTGGTGAAGGTTTCGTGCAGGACCATCAACACTTTTTGAAGGACCGAATACAGAAACCTGGTGCACTACGTGCCACAAGGTCCCCAAACAACCCTCCGCAGGTTTTGAATTCAGATTTTTCCTTCTCCTAGACCAGTTGCCATCCAAGGCTATAGAACCCATAGCTGGAGGGAGAAGAGGATTCACACCTTTCCCAAGGGGATTAGCACGTAAGTGAATGTAATGGATTCGACTGGAATTCGAACTCGGCTCTCCGATTCCTCAATCCAAGCCGCTATTCATTACTCCACCGTGCCTCCTCACATACACCCACTATTGGGTCAGCACCGTAGGGTAATATACCATTTAATCGCTAGAAATCTAGGAAAGGCCCATGATCAACGAAGGGCCGTAGAAGACACAACCCTTAGAGTTATAGTATTCAAGTCTTGCAGTAATATCGTTCCATTTTTGACTTTTTGGTCAGGCGAAGCTAATCTTTGGAAATAATGACAAACACCTTGACGTGATGCTTTAACAAAATGGTCACTTATTACTTTCGCTTATTATCTAGAGAAATCAATCCTCATCAGGGATCGTCCCTTTTTAGGACCCTGTACAAAATTAAATTCATCTTGTGCAAGCTAACGTTGCATCCTATCTCAAGGAAAAGCATTCCTAGATTATAACTGACACATTTAAGAGAAACTAAATGTGCTCAAGTGTCAAAATATTTCGGTAATGGCCCTCGTGCCAGAATCATTCAGCCTTGCGCAATTACTCTCCCAGTCGACTTGATTCCCCGCTTCCACGCCACTATTTTTTATTTTTATTTTACCCACTGTTTTTTTTTTCCGCATTCAACTTTCCGTACATTCCGTCGATTTCTGCATCTCTTGATTTCATCGCTATGCCACTTAGCGTTAGTCTTTATTGTCTCCCGCTTTACAGTTTCATTTCATTGTATATGGATGTCTATAATGACCATATCGTGTCTCCTTTAAAACGTATAGCTCGCCCCCATTATCAATCTGTCAAACTGTTTCACATAAATTGTTACCGCCATTTTTGAAAATCAATTTATTTAACTTGAATTTTTTTCATGTTTTTATTCTTTGCAGTTCACATTACTTCTTTTTTCTTTTCTTGTTTTCCTTTTTTTCTTTCTTTCATTCTTTCTTTCTTTCTTTCTTTTTTCTTTCTTTCTTTTTTCTTTCTTTCTATTTCCTTTAGTCAATCTTCTTTCATTTCTTTCAATTTACAACAAAATTTTCACTCATTTGTTTTCATATAATAATCTCATATATTTCCTTCCTTCCTTCCTGCATTCCCTCATTCGTTCCTTCCTCCCTGCCATCCTTCCTTCCTTCCTTCCTTCCTTCCTTCCTTCCTTCCTTCCTTCCTCCCTCCTTTTCCTTCCTTCCTTCCTTCCTTCCTTCCTTCCTTCCTTCCTTCTTCCTTCTTTCCTTCCTTCCTTCACCCCCACCTTCCTTCGTTTCGTTCGTTTGGTTTTCGTTCCTTCCTTCCCCTCCTTCGTTCGTTCGTTCGTTCGTTCGTTCCTTCCTTCCTTCCTTCCTTCCTTCCTTCCTTCCTTTCCTTCCTTCCTTTTTCCTGTTCCTTTTTTCTTTTTTTTTTTGCCTTCCTTCCTTCCTTCCTTTCCTTCCTTCCTTCCTTCCTTCCTTCCTTCCTTCTCTTCTCCAATTCCTTCCTTCCTTCTCTTCTCCAATTCCTTCCTTCCTTCCTTCTTCCCCTTTTTCTTCCTTCCGTCCTTCCTTTCCCTTCATTCCTTCCTTCCTTCCTTTCATTCCTTCTTCCCTTCCTTCCCTTCCTTCCTTTCCTCCTCCCTTTCTTTCCTTCCTTTCTTCCTTCCTTCCTTCCTTCTTTCCTTCCTTCCTTCCTTCCTTCCCTTCCTTCCCTCCTTCTTCCTTCCTTTCCTTCCTTCCTTCCTCCCTTCCTTCCTTCTTTCCTTCCTTCCTTCCTTTCTTCCTTCCTTCCTTCCTTCCTTCCTTCCTTCCTTCCTTTCCCTTCCTTCCTTCCTTCCTTCCTTCCTTCCTTCATTTCCTTTTTCCTTCCTTCCTTCCTTCCTTCCTTCCTTCCTTCCTTCCTTCCTTCCTTCCTTCCTTCCTTCCTTCCTTCCTCCCTGCCTTCCTTCCTTTCTTCCTTCCTTCCTCCCTGCCTTCCTTCCTTCTTTCCTTCCTTCCTTCCTGCCTGCCTTCCTTCCTTCCTTCCTTCATTCATTCATTCCTTCCTTCCTTCTGTGTTTCTTCTTCCTCGTCTTACCTTTATTCGTATTTCTCTTCTTTGAACTCTCATGATAACCTCATTCATTTTTCTTTCTTTCTTTCTTTCTTTCTTTCTTTCTTTCTTTCTTTCTTTCTTTCTCTCCGTTCATTTTTATAGGATTTTATAGAATTTTGCTTCCATCCACTTTTTTTAAATCTATTTGTTTTAACATATGTCATTTTTCATTCACGTAAAATCTTTCCATTTATTTTCCTCTTTCTTAATAAAATTAATTATGATTACTGCACAAATAATTTAAAATGTGTATAGTAAAGAGTTTAAAATATCGACGTTTGTATCAATAGTTCGAAATACGTAAAAAAAAATCCCTCGACATTTCATAACTTAGTTACCTCCCCTGAAGAGTCACTCAGCTAATTTGCACTAAACTTAAGAGTTCTTCACTTCATAGTAAAAAAAAAATTAACTCAGCTGAGCAATTTTGTTTTTGAAAATGATGAACACTAATAGATCTGTCTTGAAACAAAAAAAAAAAAACACCCTGATGATGACATGGTGCTAATGTCGGAAGTACTCGGAAAAAATAATGTGTATCAACACAGTAATTTTCTCTCTTCCTTTAATAATGACACCAAAAAGCTTGTCGGTGAATATGAAAGGATCCAATTGAAAATAAGTAGACAAAATGTGTCTAAATTATTCAATGAAACATGTCACAATGAAAACATGCCAATATATATATATGTATATATATATATATATATATATATATATATATATATTTCCAATTTTCATCTTTTCTTTATTATATTATTTTTTCCTTTCCTTATACATAAAAAAAATTTCCACCATATATATATATATATATATATATATATATATATATATATATATTCCACCATATATTTATCTTTTATTCTACACTGTTCTTGTCCTCTCCCTTTCCAAATGTCCTCCTCATTCCAGATAATCAACTTCCCTCCAATGTTTTCTTCTTCAGTCTGCAGGTCGCTTTCTTTCTGATTCTTCTTGCTTTTCTTCCATCTCTTTGTCAAGCCTCTCCTTCCTCTCTTTCGTCGCTTTCGTCTTTCTTTCTTTTTTTTCTTTACATTCTTTTCACTTTCCTCGCTTTTATCGCATTGCTGATCCAATTGCTTTAACGTCATTCTGTCAAAATGCTATTATGGCGTAAAAATTATGCACTCAATTTAAGCAAATTTCACACGTCAAACGAGTAAAATTTCATTTGGAAACAACTTACCCTACCCCTATTTATATGTTTATACCAAATTTTCAACAAAGAACACACTCTCTCTCTCTCTCTCTTTTTATATATATATATATATATATATATATATATATATATATATATATATAAATAAACCAGTCTATTCGCATCTATCCATCCTATCTATCTATGTCGGCCTGTTCGTATCTATCTATCTATCTATCTATCTATCTATCTATCTATTTATCTATCTCTATGTCGGCCTGTTCGTATCTATCTATCTATCTATCTATCTATCTATGTCCGGCCTGTTCGTATCTATCTATCTATCTATCTATGTCAACAAAGAACACACTATCTCTCTCTTTCTCTGTCTCTCTCTCTATCTCTATCTCTCTCTCTCTCTCTCTATATATATATATATATATATATATATATCAGTCTATTCGTATCTATCTATCTATCTATGTCGGCCTGTTTATATCTATCTATCTATCTATCTATCTATCTATGCCAACAAAGAACACACTATCTCTCTCTCTTTCTCTCTGTCTGTCTGTCTGTCTGTCTGTCTCTCTCTCTCTCTCTCTCTATATATATATATATATATATATATATATATAAACCAGTCTATTCGTATCTATCTATCTATCTATGGCGGTCTGTTTGTTTCTATCTATCTATCTATGTCGGCCTGTTCATATCTATCTATCTATCTATCTATCTATCTATCTATCTATCTATCTATCTATCTATCTCTGGCGTGTGTATTTAGTGTACTTAGCAGACGTTGTTCTTTTAAACCCATTTCATTGAAGTGTGTTGACACTCTATGTCTCTTTACATTCATTTCTTATATCGGCTGCAGCCAGTTTTGCAAAACATTATCGCAATATTAGATATTATAAAAAAAGAGCAAAGGAAAGAAGCTTCGCAAACTTTAGATATAAAATGTCTATACTTTCGTTTTCATGGTTTTGCGATCGTCAGACAAACTCTGACG